TGGGGGTCTTTAAGAAGAGGCTTGATGCCTACCTGGCTGGAGTCATCTGAGCCCAGTTTTTCTCCTGCCCAGGCAGGAGGTCGGACTTGAAGATCTACAAGGTCCCTTCCGACCCTACTTCTATGATTCTATGATTCTGACTGATCTAGGGGGCAGCACTCAATGCTGGGTCAGGCAACATCAGGTAGAAGAAGCCTTGCACCTAGCCAAGGACTATGTTGCAGCCGAAGCAGAAGGCGAGGGCCCTAAGAAGGAGTGTTCAGATGGGACTGGGATGATGCAATGATCGGAAGGTTCTGGCAAAAGAAGAAGAGGAGAGGGGACCCAACTTTCAGGCCAAGAACCCAGGGGCTGGGATGCCAGGGACATAACCTGCTATAGGTGTGGAGAAAAAGGACATGTGTTGCAGTTCTGTCCACACAGACCCCAAGCTGAGGCAACGGTAGAGAGTCCTCATGAAGAGAAAATGAACTGTAGTTTCAGGTGACACAAGGGGCCCGAACATCAGAATAAACCAGTAGTCGAGGTTCGAGTGGGAGAAGCCATCATCCCTGTAGTCATCAACGCTGGCTGCTCCCAGTCCATGATAAGGGCAGACCTAGTACCCATACAGCTAGGAAGCCCAGAGTTGCCTATGACTATTGTCTGCATCCATGGGGCCTCATACACTTACAAGAGAAGATGGCTGCGGCTGTCAGTGATGGGCCGCACAGAAGAGATAGTGGTGGGGTTAGCAGAGACTCTCTCCTGCCCCATGTTCCTGGGAGTTGATTGGCCACACTTGAAAGAAGTAGTCTCCCAGGTACTACGGGGCATACGGGGCCTGTCAACTATGAGGTGCTTCAGACGGAGCCCACGAGGAGAAAACAAATCTATCATGTTAACTTCCTGAAGAAGTGATGTCAAAGGGAGGGGTGGATGATACAGGATCCAATTGAATGTGAAGAACTAGAAGGGGATAGGGAATCTTGGAGGTTGGGGAGCCCTCACCAAGACCTGAGGTAGATGACCGACTTGACCTCAAACAGCAAGAGACTTTGGGGGCCTTAATAACCGAATATCATGTGTTGTGTGAGATCCTGAGGGAAGCCCAGGGAGTAGTATATCACATCAGATCCTACCCAGACAGATCATATGCAATCATTGAAGGAGGCTACCCTGGCACCTGTTGCCCACGGTCAAGCAGGAGGTTGATGTGATGAAGAAGTTGGGCATCACTGAGGAATTTAAGAGCCCCTGGAGAAGCCCAGAGTGGTGGTCCTGAAGGCAGATGGCTCCATAAGGTTGTGCATTGATTATCGCAAGGTAAATGAAATAGCAATGTTTGATGCTTTTCCAGTGCCCCAGGTAGCGGATATGCTGGAAAAGGTAAGCCAAGCCAAATACATCTTAACCTTGAATCTCACAAAGGGCTATTAGCAGATCCTGATGACACTGACCAACAAGGAAAAAACTGCCTTTAGAACCCCATGGGGCTTATTTCATTTCAGGAGGATGCCATTTGGACTCCATGGGGCGGGAGCCTTGTTCCAGCATCTGATGGACCAACTGTTAGCATCCCATCAAGAATATGCGGCTATGTATGTTGACATCATCGTCTTCTCCAGCAACTGGGAAACACACTGCTACCACCTATGGGAGATCCTCAATGACCTCCGATGGGCCAGGCTGACCACGAATCCCCAGAAGTTCTCACTGGGAAAGAGAGAGACCCAGTACCTCGGATTCATGGTCAGACAGGGAAAAATAAAACCCATAGCTGCCAATGTGGCAGCCATACGATGACACCCCTTGCCTCAAACACTCAGACAGCTACGGTCTTTCCTGGGTTTCACCAATTATTACAGGTGCTTTATCAAGGATTTTTCAGAGAAGGCAGCACCCCTGACAGATGACCAGAGGATGGAAGAACCAGATCCAATGGAACTCATCCTAGCTTTCAGACAAGTTAAGGCAGTCCTATGCCAACACCCAGTGCTTTATATCCCAGATTTTGAAAAGATTTTTTTTTTTTTACAAACAGATGCCTCTGGCACTGCATTAGAAGTTATCCTCTTCCAAGAAGAGTGGGGAGAAGAGAGACCAATAGCCTTTGCTAGCACAAAACTGACACCCACAGAAACCCGATATTCCACAACTGAGAGAGAATGCCTAGCTATCTGGTGTGGGGTGGAACTCTTTCGTTATTACTTACTAGGCCGGAAGTTTGTATTAAATCGCAGACCATGCACCCCTACACTGCCTACAAACAGCCAAACTAGATAATGCTAGACTAAGATGGTCTCTCGTTTTACAATCCTTTTATTTTACAGTGAACCACCAGTTGGGAAAGAAGAGTGGGCATGTTGACTTCCTGTCATGCACCGAACACACGACAGATACTGGTGAAAGGGCGAAGGGTCTGAGAGACTGTGCCGAGGATTACGAAGACATGGCAACTTTAAGTTTCTTTGAACAAAAGGGAGAAGGTGTGTAACAGGGGCTCGGGCAGAGCCCCTGTTACTGGGGAAACCCGGGGCACAGGTAATTAAGAGAACTAAAACACAGTGGTGGGAGGCCTGTCACACTGGGCGAGGATTAGGGTAATCATGGCCACTGCCATCCATAAAAGTGGTTGCCCTTGGGGCACTGGAGTGAAGGAGAGCAGTTGCTGCCAAGCTGACGGAGCAAGAAGGATGCTGCGGGGAAAGCCAGCAAGTTGGATGTTGGACCAGTGAGATGACGGATACTTACCCCAGGGGGAAGTGGTCAGTTGGCAGGATCCCAGGGAGGCTGGGAATGTGGCCCTTGGAGATCAAGCTCTAGGAAACAACCAGCTCTCGAACAAAGTGGCAGAGAGACAGCCATGATTGGGAAAGGAACTACAGGAAAAGCTCACTCAGGGCACAGGAGTTGACAGGTGGCTGGCAAGACCATGGGAAGGCTGGGGAACCAGACCCCAGAGAAGGATCCCCAGAGTCAACCGGCTCTCAGTGGAAGCAGCAGAGAGGCAACCATGGCTGGGAGCAGAGCAGCAGGGAAGCTGCAATCAACTAAGCGGTGTTGTAGCTGCTTCTGCGTTAATGAGCCAATTAGCGCGGTCAGCTGCATTGTATCCACTTCAGTAAAGATAGGCGCTTGGTGAATCTAACACCTGTGTGGCCTGGTGTTTCTCACCTTCTCCCTCAGGAATTAACATCTAAATCTTTTTACCATCTTCTTAAGCGTGGCAGGCCAGTCCTGGGGAAGAGAGGGGACGTACAGGTGATCCACACCTACACTCACCTAAACCCATTCAGTGCCCCTCTAGTTGAAATAATTGCTCACCCCTGTATTAGTTACTGAGCTGATTGTCAGCACCCATCTAGGGGCAGCTCCTACCCAGGTGGAGATTGTGGCTGCCCCCAGCCAGTGGCAACAATATAGTCAGCATGCAGTTTGGAGACCTGGGCTGGCCTGGTTTGATTCTGACAATCAGCTAATTGTGAGGCATAAGCCCCAGAGAGCCCTGGTGTACGGGCATGCCACACATTCAATTTAAGGCACCATACAAACTAGCTATAAAAATGTTCTATGTTATATGTGGAACATTTATATGGGTGGTTTGCCATTTTATGGCACCTTAAATTATATGCACATGTAGCACCCCTACCATTTATGCCATGAGTAACATGTAAATTGTGGCATAAATGCAACATGTAAAGGGACGATGAAACATCTGGGGCTGGTTGCTGTTAGAAACAGGATATTGAGCTAGACAGGTGAATTATGAGTCTGTTCTTCCAAACAACTACACCCCTTTCAGATGCCCTATGAATTATGATTTTAATTTATTTGTAATGTATCTCTTGTCAAGGCTTGATTTTTTTCCCCCTGCAAACATTAAACATTAAACTTGTCAAACATTAATTTTTTTTTTCTGGTCATTATAGAAGTTTTCTTGATTTGTGAGATCCTGAAACCTAAAATTTAAAGAAGTCTTTGCTTTAAGCACAAGGAAAAAGCATAGTGTATTGCTGATATATGCTGCAGGGTATTCAGTAAGCATTATTCTGAGGATCTTTTCATGACTTCTTTTATTTATGCATCAATACAGGATCTAAAGGCATTTTTGAATGTCATTCAACCTTGCAATAGCCCTGTGAAGAAGGTGGCATTGCACCCATTTTACACATAAGTACAGAGAGACCCAGCAAGTCAGACTCACCCTTGCAAAAAGATTTGGGGATTTCAAAGAGGATTTCCTTATTCTCATTTGAACATTCTATGTGAGGGTCAGTGATAATCTGCAGCATAGATAAAGGTGTAATGAAATCATGGGGCAGAGCTCTCTGCCTCATACCTGGGGCATTGTATGTGGTTGTTCCACAGGTATGCCCTGTGGAAAATATTTGAAAGGGAGCTGCTTGGCAGCCCACAGTAATCACTTATCCCTGTTTCTGTGACTGGGAACAATCAGTCTCTCCTTGCACATGCAGATATTAAGCTACACTGTGAACACACTTTTTTAAAAGCTTCTATCATAGATTTACATGCATGCTATCACCTGAGTTAATCAATAACAAGGATTGTTAGAATGAGAGTTGACTAGCTATAGAGGTGGTTAGAGCAGCTGGATTTGCTAGTTATTTTTTTAGCCAAAATTGCACACACTTAAGAGAATGTGGAAAAAGAAAAAATGAGAGATTGAAAAATAAAATAACTATATTTGCATCTTTTTTTGGCAGTTCATTTTTGTATGATGCAAGGCTGACACATCCAGTGTGTGTGTGTATGTGTGTGTGTGTGTGTGTGTGTGTGTATATATATATATATATATATATATATATATATGTATAGTGTATATCACTTCTTTATAAGAGCTGGTGTGCAGAAAAAGATATCCCACCCCAAGGAGAACAGGTATTTAGCTAGAAAGCCATGAACTAGATGAGTTGCTCCCCCTGTACAATGAAGTTTGCTTCAACACAAAGCTCCAGGTGGTTTTAATTTCAAACTGAATTTCTAATCTTCTTTTCCAGACTCTCAGAGCAAAAGAGAAGATTCTTATGGTTTTATCGTTCCTATTGTAATAATGAAAATTGCTCCCTTCCTTTGGTCTTGGGCAGTGCACCCAGCTGGGATCGAAAGGCCATCTCGGAAATGTATGCAGTGTTAAGGGATTGGAGATTTTCTAACCCTTTGGAGGCACTCGGGCTTCTGACTTTCAGGTAAGTGAAAATTAAGCAAGTCAGAGAATAATAATAAATAGAAGGAAATCCTGCTGATTAATTCAGCACTTTGATGTGTGCAGCATAATACCAAGATTTGGTTCATTGACTGTCTGCTTTCAGCTATGCTTCTGCGTCAAAGTAAAGACGTAATTGGAACCCTTCTGCTGACCTTGAGCTGAATATACCAGCCCTGCCTTCTTGGCTGAGAAGGTTAACTATTTTTCAGGATAATGAAAAGTGTATTTCATTCTATATAACAGATTCAGTCACTTTCTAGTAACAGGTGATTAGTCAACTACTTAACACTTATAGCATATCTTCAAATTGCTGTGCAGAGACAAAATAACAGACATGAGACTGAACTATGCTCCCAGGTCAAGTTGCCATATAAAACTATATCTGAACCTAACCTCTGTCACTGGCCCTTTCAACTAAAACAGAATGAGCCAAAACTTTCATATTTTCTAGGGTCGGAAAGGACCTGAGCAGATCATCGAGTCCAACCCCCTGCCATGGCAGGAAAGAGTACTGGGGTCAAACGACCCCAGCAAGGTGTACATCTAGCCTCCTCTTAAAGACCCCCAGGGTAGGAGCCAGCACCACTTCTCTTGGAAGTTGGTTCCAGATCCTAGCTGCCCTGACCGTGAAGTAGCGCCTCCTGAT